TTCAGTTTGGAATTCAGGAGATTGTCTTGACCAGGACCACACCCCTAAATGCATTGAAGCAACTGCCATGTGATTGGTTGATTAGATAATTGCATTAATGAGAAATTGAACAGGTGTTCCTAATAATCCTTTAGGTGAGTGTACATTAATAACAAACATTATATAATAATAACAAACATTATAGTTGTATAATCATGTAATGTTTGTTATCAATGTATATTAAAGCTGTTAAGGGATGTAACGATGTTAAGGTGTACTTGCATGCTGCTTATGAATGTTCTATGAATGCATTATGAAGGTGCACTGAATGTTCTATGAATGCATTATGAAGGTGCACTTAATGTAAAGCGTTACCAAATATTCTCTCCACCATGCAAACAGAACTTAAATTGTAGCTTTACTGCTTACATTTACATTTACACATTTGCATTTAGAGCAAGCATTTTAAGTGCTGTACATGAGAGTAAATAGTGAATCAGTTTATTTGCCACTGTCTAGCAACATTGCAGTTTTTCTCAGTTGCTTTGGTACATTTCTGGAATCACCCTTAACATCTGCAAAACTGTAACTGCATTTCTCAAAACAATTCGAACAAACAGCACCACACAAATGGACTGGCTGCAAAAAAGCCATAGATTACAGTGATACCTCAGTTCTTGAACTCATTAGAACTCGAATTTCTTAAAAGTCGAACCAACCAGTTCGAAAAAAAATTACCTAGAACTCGATCTGAATCTCAGAAGTCAAACCATGAACGCCGACATAAGATAACTTGCACGTCTCTCAGCGGAAACAAAGGGAAACACTTCAGTCTAAGCCTCGCATTCGCTGTGATAGCATCCTGCATGTTAAAACTAGCTGAATACATATACAGTGGTACCTCAGAACTCGAATTTAATCCGTTCAGAACTCTGGATCGAATCCTAAAAAGTTCGAGTTGTGATCGAATTTCCCCATTAGAAATAATGGAAAACCAATTAATTGGTTCCCGGCCCCAAAAAAATTACACCTAAATATGTTTTTTTTAGCATTTAAACACAAAAAAAACAAGAAGAGCATATACTGTACTAAACACATCTAAGCACATTTATCAAAACAGTGATTTGTAAAGTAAGAAAATAAATGTATCCAAACAATGTGTAAAGTTAAAAAAAACAATGTGTCCTGCCCCGATCGTCTGCTCCTTCCGCGTGCCACGCCCCCTCGTTTACCCCATGTGGAAGCCCCGTCTGATCAGCTGTTTCTGGCTGTTGTTGTCACGATCAGCTCCGAACGATCCTCGTGTGTGCCACGCCCCCTCATCAACTCCTGATTGTTCCCACCTGTGTCTAGTTCATTCCAGCCTGTCCTGTGTACTTAGTCCGCGTCCGAGTCCAGTCCCGTCAGATCTGTCATTGAAGTTTCGTGTGGTGTCATGTCATGTTCGATGTTTGTCGCCATTCTGCCCCGAATAAACCCCTTTTACCCGTAAGTTCGGCTCCACTCGCCTGCTTCCCGGCTCGCCAACTTGCGGTCGTGACAGTTGTCATTAGACCTCTGTATTTAGTCCGCGTTTCAGTTTGTTTCCCCAGTTCGGTCATTGTATTGTCCGTCTGCGTTTTGCCTGCCTTACCTGTAATTAAACCCCGTATTCCCCGATACCCTGACGTCTGCACCTTTGTCTCCGTTCCATCCCCGCTGGGCACGACAATATTATTGCAATTAAATGTATTAATTGTTTATTATTAATATTTAAATATTTAATAAGAAATCTTTATTTTTAAATGTATTTTGTTATATAATAATAATTACTGTTACTAAAAGTACTAAATGTACTTTTACTGTCTATATATTTGTATTCAGTTAATATAAACATGCACGATGCTATCACAGCGAATGCGAGGCTGAGACTGAAGCGTCACCCTTTGTTTCTGCTGAGAGACGTGCCACGTGACTCATTTCCCCGCGCGTACAAGTTATCTTAGCTCAGTGTTCACGGTTTGACTTCTGAGATTCAGATCGAGTTCTAGGTAGTTCTGGCTGGTTCGACTTTTAAGAAATTCCAGTTCTAATGAGTTCGAGAACTGAGGTACCACTGTATTTGCTGTGTTCCGTACCTTGTTGTGGGCTCCTGGACAGCGTGTCTGCCACAGTCAGTGTTTTCCCCGTTCTGTTTTTTTGTCAACAGTCAGAACCAAACAATAGCAATGCAATCACAAGTTGAGTCTCTTAACAGGTTTAACAATCCTCCCAGACCTTGTCTGAAACAGTCCATCGGGTGTCATTGTTGCACCAGTGGGAGAATTACTTTCTGTTCACAGGCCCACACTGAGGCCAAACATTCCTTTTCAATTTGTGCGTACCTTTTTTCTGCATCACTCAGTTGTCTCGAACAGAATGCAATAGGTCTCCAGTCTTCACCATGGAGCTGTAGCAGAACACCCCCAAGCCCATAGCTACTTGCGTCAGCTGAGACCACCGTACTTCCATTAGCATCATAATGCACCAAAGTAGGTGATGTGGTGAGAAGCTTTGATTTTGTTGAAGGCCTCTTGCTGTGCAGGACCCCACATCCAAGCTGATGTTGACCTCAGCAGGTCGTATAGAGGTTGACCCACTGTAGCGAGGTTAGGAATATATTTCCCCAGGTAGTTGATCATGCCAAAGGCTCTCCTTAGCTCCTGAACATTTTCAAGTGGGGTGAACTTATCAATTGCTGACACTTTGTCTGGGTCAGGTCGCACACCATCTTTGTTGATCACCTGACCTAGGAAGCGCAACTCTGTCTTTCTCAGCACACTCTTGTCTGTGTTTAACTTCAAGCCATTTGACTCTAAACATTCCATGACTTTCTGCAGTCACTTGTCATGCTCACCCATATACTTGCCGTGGATAATGATATCATCCAAATAGACTGCTACTCCCTGCAGCCCATCCAGAGTCTCCACCATCTTTCTTTGGAATATTTCTGGGGCGCTGGTGATCCCAAATGGAAGACGTTTGAAGCAGTATCTTCTGTAAAGTGTTATGAAGATAGTTCATCTCTGGCTTTCCCAAGAGAAAACTGTGGAGCCACTCAGCTGAGCTATCATCCCCTCTGATGTTGGCAAAATAAATCTCTCTCTTTTAACAGCTTTATTCAATCACTTTAAATCTACGCAAATGC